CAAATTAAGAGACTTTTTCAATGAGTGGGGGGTGAAACACACCACGGGCATTCCTCATTCCCCCACAGGGCAATCAATAGTAGAGAGAACCCACCAAAACCTAAAAAGAATCCTTGATCACCAGCGGGGAGGAACAGAAATCATTCCCCCCATTGAGAGGCTCTGTAAAGCTCTGTATGTCATGAACTTTCTAAATTGTTCGCCTACAGAGCCTGACCGCCCTGTAATTCGGCACTTCTCTAACTCAACTCATGCCAAACTCACAGAGCAGCCGCCAGTGCTGATCAAGGATCCTGAATCACAACTGACATCGGGACCTTTCCCACTGATTACCTGGGGGAGAGGGTACGCATGTGTGTCCACACCATCAGGACCTAAGTGGCTCCCAGGGAAAAATGTGAAACCTTATTTAGGCCCTACAAACCCTGCACCAGATTCAGAACTTTCAAAGTCTCCTGAGACCCACACAGGTCCAGAAAAACAGCAGCCCACTGCAGCCTGGAAACGGAGACGTCGTCGGAGTCTACCGAACTGACCTGCCACCAGACCAACAACCAGACAGAGGCCAAACTGTCCTGCTGCCAGGGCCACAACGAGACAACTGCCAACGTCACGCCTGACACCGTGACAGTACACAAGTCTTCTTAACTCCCTCCCCCTTCCCCTTCTTGCCCTCATTGCCTAGCCCAAATTGTTAGTTTGCAGCAAAGTGCACCTCTGTGCTGCTGCTGGTGTCGGGTCATGTGTCCCCAGTACACAGAATAATCTCGCCTATAATTGTTTCGTTTTTTTTGTTTTCTTGGTTTTTTTTTTAAAGAGGGGGGAGACAGGAGAGGAAAGGGAGAAAGAAAATAGCTTCCCCCCCCCCTCCAAAAATCAGAGCTAATCGTTTATGTCCTATTTTAGAAATGGAGAGCAAAACCATCCTTGAGTTCCTGATGTTCCTGCTTATCTGGATGCTCCTGAAAACATCAGCTGTGGATGCCTGGCTAGTAGCACAGCCCCAGGAGTATGTGTGGATCACCCTCACAAAGACGCTCCAACAAGAACACATGTGCTTGTCCATGGGCAGCGCCACCAACCCTCTGTCATCCTGCCTGGTAGAGATTTCTTTAAAGCCCCATAAATATCCTTTCACATGGAAAGAACCCAACCCAGTAGACACCTGGGATGAGTGGACAAAGATCTTGCCCCATGCACCAGAGGAACCCCAGGAATTAGAGCTTTTGGGATCCTCCAAAGCTATTGCATAAATTTTAATTATCACCCAGTAGCCAATGCATGGCCTGCCTCGAAATACCAAAAGGCAATTAAATCAAGGAAAAATGTGAGTCCCAACAGTAAAATTTACAGTCAGTCCAAATGGTGCAATTACACCAGCAGCACACGATCCACCTCCTCTCACTATCCCAGAGTGCTGCCCCGGGGAGTGTTCTTGATCTGTGGGGATAGAGTGTGGGCAGGAATCCCTTCCCGACTCCGGGGAGGTCCTTGCACATTTGGACAGCTTACCATCCTCACTCCAAATTCAACTCTAATACATGATTGGCTGAAAAAGAATGAATTGGCCCACCAAAAGAAAGATCTCGCCCAATTAGATGAAAATTGTGATAGCCAAATTAAAGATCGGTCCTACACGAAGAGGGTGGTGATGTCAGCATTTTTCCAGTGTGCAGCTGCTGCTAAAGCCCTTGGTGAGCCTTCTCACCTGGAGTGTTGGCATGGTAAGCAGGCCAACTGGACCTCCTCTGTCCTGAGTGACCTCTTGACAGACGAAGAGACTGTTAGGCATGCCACGCTACAAAACCAAGCTGCCATAGACTTTCTACTCCTGGCCCATGGACACGGCTGCGAGGAATCAGATGGTTTGTGCTGCTTTAACCTCTCCAGCCCCAGTGAAGGCATCCACGCCCGCATCCAGAGACTCCAACAGGCAGTCCAAAAACTCCAGAATGAAAAAGAGCCCCAGTGGCTTGAAGACCTTTTTGTGAGCTGGGGACTCGAGAGATGGGTTGCCTCCATCCTCAAGAACATTTTTGGGGTTTTCTTGATTGTTATTATCTTCCTAAGTATGTTTTCATATTTTAGGAAGCTATCAGCTAACTCTCTAGGAGATGCCTTTTTAATAAGTAAAGAAGGGAGTTGTGGGTGAGCAGGAGCCCACTGGGCCCGAGATCCTGGCTCTCCCGTGGGGAGGAGACACTTCTCTGTAAGACAGACACAGTGTGTCGCTCCCAGGGCTCTTTGAGTCAGATATGTTAAACTGTTGTGTTTCACTGGTGTTCTCCCCTGCTGTCCAACCCCAGTACAGGTATCTCGGGCTCCCCCCCCAGCACCTCTCCTTCCCCATAAATACTCCGGCCTTTCCCCAGTTCGAGTGGATTCGCTGTTGCCGGTACCCTTTGCCGAAGCTCTGCCTGAATAAAGGCTTGTGCCTCGGTGGAACGCTGGACCAGCATTCTCGTCCCTGCTTCCTGTGTCGCCTGCCCGCCGCCGCTGAGCCGAGTTGCCCTGAGCTGAGCTGAAATCACTCTATAATTACTGAGCTGACCTGGAATCACTCAACTGCTCGAAGCTGCCCACATGCGCTTCGGGCCAGCCTTTCTCAAGGCTGTGTCTAGAGGAGTCGCACTGCACCAGGCTTTCCGTCGCCGCGGAAAACCTCCTCCTCCTCCTCCTCATCCTCGTCCTCCTAGTCCTCCTCTTCGTCCTCCTCCTCCTCCTCCTCTTTCTCGTCCTCCTCCTCCTCCTCCTCCTCTTCGTCCTCCTCCTCCTCATCTTCCTCCTCATCCTCCTCCTCGTCCTCATCTTCGTCCTCCTCCTCTGCCCCCTGCTCGTCCTCCTCCACCTCCTCCTCCTCCTTGTACTCCTCCACATCCTCCTCCTCTTGGTTCCCCTCCTCCTCCTCCTCCTCCTCCTCATCCTCCTCCTACCTTTTCTCCTCATCCTCCTTCTCTTCATTCTCGGCCTCATCCTCATCCTTCGCCTCCTCCTCCTCCTCGTGCTCGTCCTCCTTCTTCTCCTCCTCCTCAACCTACTCCTCCTCCTCCTCCTCGTCCGCCTCCTGCTTTTCCTTGTCCTCGTCTTTGTCCTTGTCCTCGTCGTCGTCCTCCTCCTCCTCTGCCTCATCCTCCTCCTCCTCCTCCTTCTTCTCCTTGTCCTCGTCCTCCTCCTCGTCCTCCTATTACTCCTCCTAATCCAGATTCTCCTCCTCCTCCTTGTACTCCTCCTCCTCCTACTCATTGTCCTCCTCCTCCTCCTACTAATCATCCTCCTCCTCCTCCGCCTCAACATCCTCCTTTGCCTCCTCATCATCCTCCTCCTCATACTCCTCCTCCTCATCGTCCTCCTCCTCCTCCTCGGTCTTCACGTCGTCCTCCTCCTCCTCCTCGTTTTTCTCCGCCTCCTCCTCCTTGTCCTCCTCCTTTTCCTCCTCCTCCTCGTCCTCGTCCACGTCCTCGTCCTCATCCTTGTCCTCCTCCTCCTCCTCCTCTTTCCCTTCATCCTCCACCTCGTTCTCCTCCTCCTCCACCTCATCGTCCCTGTCCTCGTCCTCGTTGTTGCCCTCCTCCTCCTCATCCTCCTCCTCCTCTTTCTTTTCCTCCTCCTCCTTGTCCTCCTCCTCCCCTCCTCCTACTCTTTCTTTTCCTCCTCCTCCTCCACCTCCTCCTCCTCGTCATAGTCGTCGTCGTCCTCCTACTCCTACTCCTCTTCCTCCTCCACTTCCTCCTCGTCCTCTTTTTCCTCTTCCTCCTCCTCGTCGTCTTCCTCGTCATCGTCGTCGTCCTCCTCCTCCTCCTCCTTCCCCT